CTATTAGTAGAACCAGTCGTCTCATCCTTGGATGTCCTGGACCTGGATGAAAAGGCTTCACTGGCCCAAAGGATATTGAACAAAGCGAATGGGTCTTTCATCTGGACAACCCTTGTGCTTGATGAGGTACGCAATGTCCACAGAAAGACCGAGATAGCGCGGGTACTCGACGAAGTCCCCCCTAGTATGAAGGCGTCTTACAGACGGACTTTACATTTGATGTCTCTTGAAAGGTACAGCAAGGATCTTGTCAGAGAAATCCTGACCTGGACATCATGCGCCCCCAGGCCAATGTCTGTCGGAGAGTTGCTAGGAGCTTTGAAGTTACATTTCGGAGAAGACATTGTGAATATCGAACGGGCTATTGGAGTACGATGTGGTCAACTCATCTTCATTGACCAGTGTGCCAGGGTACAGCTCGTGCATGAGACTGCAAGAGAGTTCTTGATAGACCCTGGACTTGACTCCGAGTTTGCTCTCAACGTGGAGAAGTCACACTCGCGGATGGCGGAAATCTGTCTACGATGCCTCATTTCCGAAGAATTTTCACCCCTTCGAACGCAACCACGTCAGTCTGCCCCCAGGCGGTCTCGCCATAGGCCCGACTTCGCCAACTACGCCATTCAATTCTGGTCATATCATCTCTTTAAGGCTACCTCGCAGGAGAGAAATATCCTTTTGCCCCTGGAGGAGTTTTTGAATACCAATATCTTATCTTGGATTGAGGAAGTGGCAGGTTCCCAATCTTTAAAGCAACTTGAGCAAACTTCACGACATTTGGCAACTTTCGCGGCATTATGCGATATCGAAGGACCCCCGAGAGACCATCGCATTGCAATAATTCGGAGATGGGCGGCAGACCTTATGCGGCTGACAACTAGGTTTTCCAGCGTCCTTCTTGCATATCCGTCAGCCATACACACTCTGGTTCCGCCGTTCTGCCCTACAAAATCAATGCTCCATAATAGCGTCTTTAGGATACAAGCGCTTGTGCTTCTTGGTCATCAGGATGAAGTGTGGAGCGACAAGATATTTCGCGTGAAGTTCGAAAGTGACGACCCTACCACCTTATGCTATGGAGATGGATTCATGGCCGTGGGCCTCGAGAGTGGCGCTATTTCACTTTATCACGGAACACTCTATCAAGAAAGTAGACTCTTGTACCACGGAGAGACAATCAAGCACTTGCAAATTAATGACACAACGGGTCTCCTCGCGTCCTGTGGCCTAGAAACGATCAAAGTCTGGAATATTGGAAGAGGGGAGTGTATCCACACTTTCCATACCCTTCATCGCCCGCTTTATCTTACATTCAATGAAGGAATAATTAGGGCAGCCACCGTCGGAAATTATATTGCTTCATGGGACCTAGAAAATAATGAGATCCGAAAGCCGGACTTGTTTTGGAACCACACCGCCAAGCTTCCCAACTCACCTTTACACGGCGAACCGTCTTCTCTCGCCATGTCAGTTCACAGCCAGTTACTTGCTGTCGCGTACCTTGGACACCCAATTCTCCTATGGGACTTGGCACAAAACACAGATTTGGGGACCTGTGGGAAGAAGTTGGTCAACGGGGACACGAGTAATGATCAGGTTGTCGAGATGATTTTCAACCCAAATGCGGCCTCTGGTCTATTGGCAATTTCCTATCTCGAGGGCGACCTGGTGGCAATCGATCCACTGCGGAACCAGCAGCTATCCTGTGTGCGAGAAACCTGTCGTGCGCTTTGTGCGAGTGCCGATGGTCGTCTGCTTGGAGCTGTAGGAGGGGAGAACGCCATATGCATTTATGAATTTGACTCGCTACGGCTGATCTATCGACTACTGTCATCTAACAACAGCTCCATTCGCCACCTTGCTTTTTCGAAAAACACCCTCCAAATTGCTGATATTCGTGCTTCGAAATGCTCGGTATGGGAGCCACTATCACCGGCCATTTATGATGGACACGATCCTGCTTCAGTTCCAGTAACGGAGCATGTATCTCCCGAAGTCCAAATGAGAATTACATCAATAGCAGTACACCCAGCCGAGGCGATTATTTTCTGTGGTAGAGACGACGGATCTATCGTTCTCCACAGCCTCAACACGGCAGAACCGATAGCTACATTGTACCGGCATCCATCTCCGGTTAAGATGATGGCCTGGTCCCAGCAACACAAACTGCTCTTTAGCGTCGACTATCGGAATAAAATCATTTCCTACCACATAGGGGACTTGCACGCCTCCGAGAAAACGGCCCAGGGACAAGTCATGTTCGAAACCAAGCTTGACGATTCCTTGACGATGATGGATCTATGTCTTGGAGACGCGAAACTCAAATTCATCACATCCACGGCCGGATCCGACCATCTATGGAGTTTCAACGGCCAGCTCCTGGAAACCCACGTCGAGAAGAAGCCCAGTCCCGGCATTCATAAATGGATCCAGCACCCGTCGTCAGAAGACCAGGTTGTTCGCATCGATACTACGGAGGCTCGGATATTTCGTTGGCATGACTGGTCGGAAATAGCTTGTTACCCCCTTCAACTGGATCTTGTGCTCCAATTTTCACCGGAGAATTTATTCAGTTTCTTCGACGGAGGGCATATGAGGGTTCTCTTGCAATTATCCCAGTACAGCGTGTCACCCAGGACCACTCAGCTCGTGGTGTTCCACTTCGAAGAGATCACCCGCACTGCAAATGGACTCGCTAAATCTATCACGCTTAGCTCACCTTTCGCCCAGGATCTCCTAGACCGGGTTTCCCATGTTCTTGGAACTACAGACTCGGGTAGGCTGGTCTTTCTCGACAACGATTCTTGGGTCTGTTCTATTGCTATTGCGGAAGCTCTCGATAGCCGGACAAATAGGGGAGACTCCTTAGAGCTCTCGAGACACTTTTTCATCCCGCACGACTGGTTTGCCGGAGCTCGAGATATTGTTAGTGCGCTTGTGAACAGAGATATCGTGCTGAGTCGGAAAGATAATTTAGTTATAGTCAGAAACTGGGAGGAGCATGTATATCGGGTGAGAATCTAAGTTTATGCGCTCCCGTCCAATGATCGAGAAACCCATGAGAAACACGGTCAAGGGTACACCTCCATCAGTATAATTTTTTTTCGGAATTTTAACTGATATGAACAATATCTGTTGGAACCAGATGCGTGCCGTTTGGGAACGCAGTCGAGATTATGTCCTCAGACATGCACGATATGCCGCTTGTCGCCTAGTTCTAGTAGAAGATGCGAACGCTCTTCTTGGAAATTACTTGCCGAAACAGGCCATCGTATATCAGGCGAACAAAATCTCACTCCATGACGTGATGCTTGCTTCTGAGGACGGGGGCTGTGGCTGGGGCGGGATGAGTAGTTAAAGTAACACAGAGACATCCGAGCTTCCTCTACGGCAGAGGCAGGACGACTGGTTCTTCGTATCCAGGGATGTAACTGCAGGGGTTAAGCTGCCAGCACATCACTGTAGTATCTAACTAGTCTAGTATCATAAGTCTGGCCACTCTCCGAAGTCCAGCACATCGATCCCGGATGAACCAGCGAGTTACACCAGGCATGACTCCAGGTATGGCGGTCGTGAAAGCTCCGACAACGTATCAAATGGCAGTCGCGATAGCTGCGATACCTCGCCTAGGACATCTGCGAGCTACCTCAGTTTTCCGAGATTTCCGACGGCGTTCGTGACCGCCCGCTAGTGACCGCCCGCTAGAATGGGTGGAGACTGGAGGGTGATCACACAGCTCCATCCGATAGGTAAGGCCCTCTAGCGGATGCAGCTACTTGGGGTGGGTGGTCTTTGATGTCGTTGCCACTCAAACGCTGTACGGCGATCCCCTGAATCCAATCTGTTAAGAGCCATGCCGCCTCTTGCAGCCTCTCTTGATGAGTGGCCGGGATAGTGGAGATGGCGAGCTCAGACTCTTGGCTACTGCCTAAGGTTGTTCCGAGCAGAAGGTGGACGATTCCTCATATCACGCTAGGAATCCGGGGTGGGGGGTATTGCCAAGCTCGGGATTGAGTAGAGCCCCGATTGTGAAGCCATGAATCTCGTGGAATGTGGAATCGAGCGTAGAAACGTTCCATGGGGATTGGCTATGCGCTCGGTGGTGACAGACAAGGAGAACGACGCTTAGAGAGTCAGGGGCATAAATTACAAAGCACAGTTGATAGCCGAACTCGCTGGTTTGATTGGAAGTCGCATGAATCGCTCAAATTAGTTTGGGAAGCTGTTGCGATCGCAACGATTCGTTTAGGGCCCAATGCGGTGCGATTCCTAGGCATCTGTGCGGAAGCAAACGAAGTCTCGAACCCTCGCCTCGGAGTCGTTCAATCATTAGCCTCTTGGCAGGACTTGGTAGGGCCGGTGGAGTTGCATCGGTGCTACCCACCCCGCCTAGAGACGAATTTGCGCGACGCGGCGAGGCCTCCGCACTTGTCTCCGACCTTTCCGTGGCGCGGTACGTGTGGTGCCACATGATGGGAAATATTGGAAAATATTGGAAAATATTCTCGTATTCTCTTCTCTCTCTAGCCTTGTCCAGCCAATGGATTGCGGAGCATGCCCATACATCGCGAACGCCAAGAAGGGGAGACTCTGCTGCACTATTCTTGGACGAAACCCGCTAACTTCGCTACCACTTCTGCAACCCAAATTTGCGCAGAAGGGAAGCATCTTCTATTTTGATTATCTCGATAATCCTAATGTGGCTGAATTAAGCATTGCGCCAGCCAGGGGGGATTAATCCATTTCGTTCGAAACTCGCTTATACGGTGGGGAAAGGTGAGTGAGAAGCTACTATTATTAGCATTGCTTGTTTTGACGTGATGGGGGTCAGAGGATGAGAGGATGGGCGATAAGAGATGAGGGATGAGGGTGAAGAGAACAACTATATAAACTGCCTTGGGGAACGGATCTCACTTCACCATTCTCCTCAAAATCATCAACCATCTCTTGGAAATCGTTCTCGCCTGCATTTATTCATTCCTCATAAACACAACTCCAACATGACCAAGCTGCCTCCCGTCGAGAAGTTCCCCCTTGCAGTCCGCAAGAATAGTACGTCACCATAGTCTGCAATCAAAGCCGTGCCTACGAGGAAGCTCACAAAACTCTACACACAGTCCGTGACAAATGGGACAGCCAAAAGGACCAGTTTGCCAAAGATCTCTCTGAACTTCTCGGCACCGAATGGGCTATCGAGGTGGACCTCCCGCAGGTTTTCGCCTACGCTGAAAGTGGCACTTGGTCCTATGATTCGTTTGGTAGCAGCGTTGCTGAGTATGCCTATCCCCTACTCCCCGTTCTCCCCAAACTATTGTGCAGATGCAAATCTTTTCTGAGCTTGACGCTAATATAGTTGACTTGAATCAGGCACGTTAGGGGGGGCATCGGCCGCCTCCGAGACTTTATTGAGAGATATGATGCTGAAACAGTCAACGAGATCAATACTATTTGCCACGCCCACATCCTCACCCTTGACGTCGACGAGGAGAGCCGCTTCGACTGCGGGGGTGCTGATGTCCTAGATGGGAAGCTTCGCATCCTCTTCGCACCAGAAAAGCTCAATAGCAACATCGGGGACGCCTTCAAGGAAGAGAGGCTTCTCAAAGCCTTCAACGACGCCCCTCCACCCGCAGGTGACGAAAAGCCCCTGAGCTTCATTACCCGCCTCTTCAAGAGGATCAAGTATGACGCTAAGATCGAGGAGATCCGCACTCAGATCGGGGAGGCTCTGAACAAGCCCGACATTAAGCTCACGCCCAATTTCGAGGATACCTATGCCAAGCTTAAGGTCGAGTCACAAGCTAAAGATAACAGGCTTGACCAGAAGCATTGGGAAGAGCATATCCCTGACTGGACGTTTCGATACTTCAAAGGCTTCCTAGGCTCGATCAAGTGGCAGCATTTTGACACGGACGACATGTTGCAGGAAGGTTTCAATGAGGCTGTGGACAAGGGAGAGATTGCGTTCAGAATTGTAGATACCACCAAGTCGGGGACCTCCGAGTTCGCGATTGAGGATGGTGTTTTCTATCTCCAGGTGAGTTTCCTTGCTTCTTTGGCAACAAGAACCTTGAAGAATAATGCTAATGTGTTTGTGGGTAGGTCACCGCCAGGAATTGGGGATCGAATATTGATGATGCGGCTCGGGGCATCGTTGACAAGCTCTAAATCTATGGACTATTTTTCATCAGATATTTAGAGGGACGTAGGCGGCTGAATTCTCCTCTGAAACATCTCATCAACCGCCATGTAAGTGGGAGCATGGGGCTAGTTAGGCAATAGTATTTCATTGATGATGGACCAAAGTCGATGCTTCCAGTGACACCATAGAGATTCGTGAGACCTTGTGAACTTTTCGTCTCCAGGTACTAAAGTAGACCGATATTAAAGCAAAAAGGATGCATTTGACTCTACGTGATGCAGTGGAGAATGGAAACCCTGAACGGCTTTCAGTCCCTCTTGTGCAGTGATCTCAGGGAAAATAGCTCGAATTTCTCCATTTACAGACCATTAGCATCACCTGTCGGGCGCAGCCTTGGCGACACATCATCATCCGCAGCTCTCCCGATACTCCGCAACATACATCCCCCGAGTCTTGTTTACCCTGTTGGGCAGTACGGGGGAAGGGGGAGTTGGGTGGCTCGAAACTCGGAGCCTTATCGTCTTAACTTAAAGATCCATGTCTATTACGTTGTGATCTCCCTTTAAATATGTATTTGAAAACAAGTCGGGGCCCGGATCTACTTCTTTCAGTTCAATATACATAGCTAATTCTGGTACTTTTATTGAACGTCATGAACCTGGTTGCGCCGGTCCTACATGTTCCCCCGTTCAATGGATTGTAATAGTATCGTCCTTGAATTCCGAAACCAGTCCCTTCTCGACAACCTCTTTCTTACAGTGCCACACCGCATATGCTGTCCGGACAAAGTCGCCGCTGTCCAACTTCCTCAACACGAGCCCCTCCAAACGGTCATTGGGATTTCCTATCCCTCTGTTGCTCCTTTGGACAAGCATAAAAGAAAGCCCACCTTCCTCAGTTGCATACTCCATACAATCAGGGTAAGCACCGTTTAACTCGGAAGACTGTGTCATTGTCGACGTGGTGGTTAACTTAAACCCAAGTGAGGATTTTGATAGAGAGCAATCCAAAAGCTTCCCTTTAATTCTGAGAGAACCGCCATTGATAGATTCGTACTCCATCCCAGCCGTCTCTATCGAGATTTTAGCGCCAAGGATCCGGATCTCAATGGAAGACGAGTCAAGATTGTGCACATCCTCCTCGTCATCGAATGCGAACTGTGCACCCTGGACGGCTGCCCATGACCAGGACGGTCCCCGCTTAACAGAGGGCCGCGGCTTGACTGCGTCATCCAACACTTTCCATAGCAGGCTCTGGGGTAGAAAGTTTTTCCATACCCCTGCAATATATATTCCTAGGCCGCTGCCATAGCGCGCTGAATACTCCCTAGCGAGAGCTGCGATGGCAACCCACTTATCCTGGGGATTTGTGAGTTTCCTACGACAGTAGTTATCCACGGTCTTTAGCCAAGCTTGATTTGCGCCATCTGCTAGAATCACATGAGGAGGGGGTTCCGTAAAGATTCTCTGACTTCGAAGCCCAGGGCCAGCTGGATTCCGCGAAATTACTGTAGCAGCGTAGGAGGACACGCTTCGCGTAGAGAAACCGAGACCGCCATCAACTTCGCCACTGTAGAGTGGTGCAATAACGAAGCCGGCTTCTGGAACCTCTATTGGATGGCCGATGGGGTGGTCGAAGACGAGAGTTGCCGATGTAGGCTCCACCTGGACTAATGGATTGTTCTTCCCGGACGCGGCCAGAGTCCTTGCTCTTGCAAGCATGGCCTGGAGGTGGTCTGTGAGCAAGGCCATACCCAAGCCCCGAGCTTCAGCATTATTCATGAGCGCCTTCTTTGGGAACGCCAAAGGACGGTGCTTCCCGAGGTCGTAGATGACATTTCCGTCTGACAATTCACGATCGTCTCCGATGCATCGAAAAATCACTCCGCCAACGGAGGGGAATATCAGAATTCTCCTACAAAGGAGCTCCTCCTGAAGTATCCAAGCTCTCGACGCAGCGTGTTCGAGGCCGGCTGCATAACGAGGGGTCCCAGGAAGGTCGTAGAGGAGTATTTCATCTGAGTCATTGTTCGAGGAAACGTATGGGACTTTGCAGCAAGTGAAGTTCGGGGAGTTGCTGAGATTCTCCTCAGCAAGGGACATGCTACTAGCAAAGGAATCCTCTGCGTTTGGTACATCCTCGGTGCTGATGAGCCGCTCCGCGACCCTTGATATCTTGGGAATGCCCAAAAAGCCCTCATCGACTGACTTTGTACCGGACGACTGGATGACAAAATGGGCATTGGTGTAATAGTGATGCATTTTAGGGAGTTCCTTGACTTTATCGCTCTCTTCGCCTTGTCGTATGCAAAGAGCGTCGATCCAGAGATACGCCAAGCCCATGGCCTGACAGACCGTTATAGCATCTTGAAATGTCTTTGGTAGGAGGTTGGGGTGCAATTCTCGCTCAGACAGACGATTCCCAAGTTGCGCAAATTCCCCTTGGAGACCTTGTTTGCTACCCCAGGAATAGGACAAGCAGGCGTATAGTCCTTCCTCATCTGGCAACGTCTGTCGAAGCCTGACGCGGGTAGAGTCTCCCTCCCCAGAAATGAACAACACTCGCGTCGGCAGTTTTGTCGCGTCGGATGATCCGCAAGTGGGATGGTTCTTGCAACACTCATGAATCCATTTCTGCGCCAGCTCACCATTAAACCCCGTTGGGGCAGTGTCAGTTGCGTCTGGGGATACGAAGCTTTTGCTGGCAGGCCCTCCTATACAGTTGCCAATCAGTGTTCCAATCCATATACTAATAGTGAGGAGGCAAGAGCCTCTTAAAAGAGCTTACCTTGCCGAGCCATGACTCCCAAGGTCAATGACATGTCCGGAAACCGCGAATCCTCATTAGATAGACATAAAACGTCTACAGTGCTCAGCTTTCCTTGGGAGATATTCGCGGATGTCGGAAAACGTAGCGAGAACTTCAGTTCCCCAGATTGTTTTTGCACCTCTTCGCCTGTTGTGGGCAGCTTCTGAACGGGGATAGGTACCAGTTCATCGCGCAAAAACCGGCACCATGTACAAGACATCGCCTGCTCGAAGAACCGCTGAGATGGCACCGTGTAATGAATGCTTCGGCCTTGGAATTCTAAGCAGAGGAAATCGATGTTGGAGCGCCATGACTGATTAGAGAAAAGGTCTTTCCAGCCTTGCTGGCCCCAGGGGACATTCTTGCAGCTCTCACAGAGCTGATATGCCACCAGATCCATAGTTCTTGGGGTGAACTTTTAGTTTTATAGTTGACATTCATAGGTGTCTTCAATGGGAGCTCTCGATACCAAGCTGTTCACCTAGTGGGGGAATCGACAGAAAAAGTTGAGGAGCCGTTGGTAGCTGAGCCTACAATCGTCCCCTCAGTTAAGTCTAATTTTTTAATCAGCAACTGTACATGTATGTGCCTTTGTCGATATCAAAATATTCCGAGTCCGGAAACGCAGCCAAGGAGAGCAGAAGAGAGGAGGCAGTGCTGCGGCAGTGCCACAGGCAGGACTGCCGCACTTTTGCGTAATCTCGGCAGGTTACTCAGACGGTCCGAAACGGGCCGTCAGTAGCGACAAGGGCCTATCCGGGACGTTAATAACACTGGGATTGAAAGGGGCCTGGGCGGATGCGGGTATCACGGTCAGCCCCTGTTTTAAGAAGTAAATGAGGGCAGTAGACTTCGGAAGAAGACGTCAAAAGCCTGGCTCAAGCTCTCAGGAGGCTACGTATGGTAACTCCTAAAGCTTAGCAACGAGACTGTGGTCGGGGTAAAGTAGCTGAGTGAGCCCAGCGAGTTCACCATCAGGAAACATTGCACCGCAAAAGGTCAGAAGAACGGGCTGATCAAGGTTTCTTTGGAAGCATCAATCGCCGCCTCACGGGGAAGACGCGATCTTCAGGGGTAGTCCAATGCCCCATCTGCGAGAAGTCGGGCAACAGGAAGCCCACCGGACAACAAGGGTAATCACCGGAATTCCCTCAAGCAGAAATTGCAACCAATATTCGGACAAATGGCGTATGCAACTATGAAGATATTAGGTGGTTTCGCGCCCCCTTAGCCCCATTCCTTCATCTCCAACATCGATGGACGACGTGGTCGGTGAAGGTCAACGGTCAAGGGTATTGGGGAACAGTCAATATTATTATGCAGAGATGTCCACTTGTACACGATGTGCCAATTGTTCACCTAGTTCCAGCAGAAGAATACGCATACAACCGTTTTTGAAACTACTTGCCCAAAAAAACCATCGGATATCGGGCGAACAAATCTCACTGCCTGACGCGTGCTTACGGGGATGGTGGCTGCGGCTGAGGTGTGACAAGTGGTTAGTCGCAAATTCCGGTTCGGAAGAGCAGATTGGATACGAATTCCGGTTGACAAGAGAGCTAAACCACCAATTGGTCTAGAAACTTTATATTCTGAATTATAAGCGTGGTATGGGTAAGACGGCAACTGGAGGACGTGAGATAAATAGCCGCTGGACCGGCTCCAACATCAGCGAATCTCAACTCGACGCCTCGCTACTTATCAACCGTTCGTTAAATAATATTTGATACCTAGACCGAAACGAATCATGACAACAAAGGCAAACACCTCAATCCTGATCTCCGGTGCCAGCATTGGTGGGCCAGCCCTGGCTTACTGGCTAGCAGAATACGGCTTCACAGTCACCGTCGTTGAACGGGCGCCCGAGCTACGCAAGGGTGGCCAGGCAGTTGACTTCAAAGGGGCAATCCACAACACCGTCATTACACGCATGGGTATCAAAGATGATGTCTACGCAAACCAAACTGGGGGAACTGATCAGCCCATCGTTGACTCCGAAGGCAAGGTTCTCACCGTAATGACAGCCAGTTTCACGGGTGGAGATGTCGAGATCCGCCGCGGTGATTTGGCGAGTATATTGTATGAACGGACTGCATCGCGATGCACTTATCGATTCGGCGATTCAATCACTTCCCTGACGGAGACGGAAAAGGGAGTCGATGTCACGTTCCAAAATGGTGCACCGCAGACTTTCGACCTCGTTGTTGGTGCTGACGGCATACACTCAAACACTCGCCGACTGGTTTTCGGGCCCGAGACCAACTACGTGAAGAACACGGGCTTTTATTATGCTCTCGCAGAAATGGACAATGCCGGCGGACCGTGGATGTACAACGAACCTGGTCGCATGGCCTCACTAGGTGGTCCTAAAGCTCCCGTCTTCTTCGTCTTCCATTACGCCGAAGAAAACCTCAACCAGGCCCCGGTCGAACGCCAGAAAGAGGTTCTAGCTTCAATATATGAAGGGGCTGGATTCAAGGTACCTGAAATCCTTAAGGCACTCCCCGAGGCCCGTGATCTCTATGTGGATACGATTAGCCGTGTTGAGATCGGCCATTACGCCAAAGGTCGCGTCGTTCTCCTGGGTGATTCCGCCTACGGGAATACGCTAGGGGGTTTCGGAACAGGACTCGCCACTGTCGGTGCCTACGTATTGGCTGGAGAATTGGCCCTTGCCGATGGTGACCATAAGGTGGCCTTTGCGAATTACGAGGCGGCGATGAAGAAGTATGCCACGGTGGCGAGGCAAGGCAACGCCGGTCGATTTCTCGCGCCGCGGACAAAGCGCGGTATCAAGATGCGGAACATGGTCTTCAAGTACAGTCCTTTGTTCAGCGCTCTGGAAAAGTTGACCGATCGGTTTGCGACTGATATTGAGTTGAAGGATTACGGGGCCTTGCTTGAGGAGCGGAGGAAGAAGCGAGCCGGTTGATTCTTCGTCTCATATAAACCGGTTTTGTTCCCCGAGAAGGTAGAAACAGTCCTTTGGGTACTTGTTATACCGAATCCTGTTTAGAGGAATGAATGATATTAGCTTAAGGACATGTGCTTCCGTTTATGCCTTTGGAAATATATGCATCTCTTTTTCTCTGGTGGCATTCGAAACCCCAGGAAGTTATGAAAGCCTTGGAAAGAGGCTCGGACGAATCCTCTATGTAATCATGTGCATAATCTTATGCTATGCCTTCATGGGCACTCGGTCTACCTATTATTAACGCGTGGAAAGTCATTTGATGATCGTGCTGGGTTCATTTGTTTTGCGTGCCAATGGGCAATCCGCAGCCGAGTCCTGGTAATGGCTCGTATCAAATGGCATTGGAAGAGCCTGTAATGAAGCTATATCCTTTTGGTTTGCTCTGATATTAGATCATATCTGCATAGAGCTAACTTGTGTAAGCCTAAATAGAATGATTGGTGAACAAAACACACAATACATCCACTATTTCTCGGCGCCAAGCAATGTAATAGTCAGGAACCAAGTATGCCTCTTGCATTTGCCTCGGATGGCGAAGCGGTCGAAGGATCCGGAACGGAATGAAGTGGGTGCATAGAATTACGCGCAATCTGCCAAGCGCCGGACCCGTGAATGTCGGTGCGATCGACAAGAGCGAGGAAGTTGAAGTTGACGATGTTAAAAGGCTTGGCTAGAACACCAAGCCGCCAAGCACACCAGGAACGTAGGACGGAGGATGATTTGCGGACATTCTCCTCCTTTTCTTCAATTATCTACTAGCCGAAATTCACGTACATCTACTTGATACTGTAAGAGTGGTCGCCATCACGGAGTAACAGGATGCCATATGCTCTCGGCGAATACGCTGCAAGTATAGGGGTAGGTTGTGTTCCTCAACTGTGCTGTTGTAGGTAGGAAACTCTCTACCTCGCTGCATCGACCGCCTGGTTAAATACACTACTCGAACAGTTCAAAATAGCTCCAACCACCGCGTGTGGTTGAGCCAAGTCGTGTGCGATCGTATTACCTTGTTGGATTAAGCCCAAACCTTTATGAACTTAGCTTCAAACTCATTCTTCAGACGCTGAAAAGCCAGGAGAACAAGCTTGAGTTACTCGCCCTCACTACCCCGTTGACTTGTATAACCACTCGACTCGCCATCAAGGAGACAACCGTCTTCTTCCGCTGAACTAGAGTCAATATCGTCCTCCCAACTGTCCGGAACGGCTGTGTCCCGCGCCTTAGCCTTTGAACTGGAGGCTGTGCATTTATCTCGAGTGGCCGCTGTGCTGGCATGCTGATCATCAGAGTCGTCAGACTCATCTTCCATGGTACTGCCGACATCCTGGATATCCATCATGGCGGCGTCGTCGACAATTTCCTCGCCAAAGAAGTTGGAGAGGCTTGCTGTGATGGTTGATAGGACAAGAGAAAAGTCCTTGAGGCGGAACCAAACATCTCCGCGCCTGATCTTGTTATCGTCGACGAGGGCTTTCATGTTCCCGTGCTTGAAAAAGTCGTAGATGTATGCATTCCACGGGACCCAGTTCGTATCGTATAGGTAGATCAGGATGTACGGCACAGCCGATTCCTCGAGGAATATATCGCCGCGGACCGTAGTGCAGAGTTCGTGAATTGACTTGAACTTGTCGGTGAAGCCCGAGAGGGCGGAGAATGGTGAGCGGAGCTTGGTGGGAGGCAAACATTTGCGGGCGGAACTGAGCTGCCGACTATGCTTTCCCTGAGATCCGAACTTATGCTTGGTGAAGGGCAAAGTGTCATCAGATACACCGCTCAAGTGCTGGTGAACATAAGTCTCGACGTATGTTCGGAATATGTCGAGCGTGTCCTCGTTATGTTGGCATAGGATACCCTCTGCCTCGACTGGCAACGGCGGCAGAACCACAATGGACGTCGAAGGACGGACAACTTCAGCGAGGAATTTATGGTCGTTTATAGTTCTTGAGAGGAAACCGGCAGAACAGATGGCATAGAACTAGAACCAAGTCCAAGAGAACTTTGCTCGGATTCCGGTGCATGTCTTTGCAGAGTCTGTTGAAGTAACCTTCCTTGAGCAGGGAATGGAATGCAAAGACGGCGTTCTCAGTGAAGTACAAATGTCCCACCAGGCCCGTAAAGTTCAATGGCGTGCCGTCTTGCGAGAGAAGTTGCTGCCTTCGAAGGTACTCGATGGAGAATCGGACATGATGTTTGATGGCCATCTGGCTCTCAGGGCCACCAAGGTAGATACGTGTTTGTGACAGCATAGATTGGACCGCGTCGATTGCATATTGCGAATTCTCCGTATGGTGCCAGAACCCGAGTAAACGAAGCATCAGAGTTGTGGAGAGGGGAAAATGGCCTTGGAGATCCGGGAGTCTCGACGACATGATTTCGTATGCGCGCTCAAGTTCTATGCCAGCAAAAACGACGTTCCCAAGAAGGTCGAAGCTCCGGCGACCGGCTCGGCCAGCCCCTTGTTGATAGGTGAGGGTGGTGAGGTAGACAGAGTCACCTAAAAATATGACAGTCTTGCATGGCATGTTGATGCCCAGAGCCAAAGTTCCGGTAGCGATGACGACGGTCAAGAATCCTCTACGGAACAACATCTCAACCCTAGAATATTGATGGTTAGAAAATTCACACTTCGTCGTGCCAAAAGCTAGCAGAAAGGGAGGAAGACTTACACTTGTCGATAGACACGATTCATGCCAGCGTGATGCACGCCTATGCCACGCCTGAGGGCCTGAATCAATCCCGGCTTCAAGTTGGAGTTAGCGAGAGACTCGATGTGCTGTTTCAGCTCGGATGGGAGAAGTTTGGAATGATCAGCAAAAGAAAAAAGATGTATAGGTGCATCCATATCGAAGCTTTGCATCGGGTGAGCCTCCCGGCTTGCCTCCGCTTGTATGGCGTCCATCTTGGACATGCCTTCTTCCATTTTCGGTGCGGCATTGGCCTTGCGGTCAGCAGTCCTCTTCCACTTGTGGTATTCAGCCATCTTGTGTTTCCACTCGAGGCTCTCTTCCTTCCATTTATTCTCGGCCAATTCCAGGCGCTGCAGAAGAGAGAATGCCGTCTTTTCTCAGTAAAGGCGATCGTAGTTGAACAGCAAGGCCGGAAGAGCCCCCTTCTTGTGGAGGTCAACAAGGAGTGGAAAAGCAATGGAGGTTAGGCTGCCAGCGTCGGCAGACATGGGGAGACGAAAGTCTGACTCGTCATCAGTCTCATCAAATGTGGGCAGTTTAGACGCTTGAGAAACCGTAGACTGTAGAGTGTGTTGCACAGAAGAGAATGGCGAATCCGGGTCTACCATCCATGCTTTGAGGACATCCTTCAGGGCCGCCTCCCATTTCACCACGTCGGATTTCCTGGCGACATCCTTCAGGAACTTTCGAGGGTTCAGAGCATCGGAAATCGGGTATTTGCTCGTTTGATGCTGAATTAGGCATTTCCAGAGTGTCAAGCAATCTCGCGGTTCAAGGGCGACGTCATCTAGATTCTCACGGCTCCTAGTATATATTATTAGATACATGACACCGAGGGTGGCGTGAAAGAATCCATGGGAAAGAAAAAAGAGAAAGGAGATGTACCTGTTGGTTAAGCTTGCGACTGGGTGAATAGCAGCAAACCTGGAGTAGCCCTGCCTGGTTTCTCCATCCGCATTGGCATCAAGGCCAGGAACAGGAAGAAGATTGCAGGGCTTGAGACCGGAAAACATGTAGTTTCGGGGTGTGAAGTAGATGAACTTGCGTAAGTCAGAGTATCGAGACGAATGAACAACCATCTCCAGATCAAAGCCCTTGGCCTTCTGAGCACCCTCCAGCCAAGCCTTGAACTCGTGAGGGTTGCCGATGGTGGCTAAGAGAGCAATGATGGGACAGGGAGCGAGGAGCAGTAGCTGTTCCCAGATGACACCATCGACCGATTGGCCAATGCAATGAACCTCGTCGAAGATAATCCTCTTGACCCGACGGGACCAAGAGTCTTTCGATTTGGAATTAGTCGGGGCCATGAGCATAATCTGCAGGGTATGCGGAACAATGACGAGGATCTGACAGTTTGTGGAATTGTTCACTCGATTATCTCTGGTATGAATGGCCCAAACACATCGCGTATTGTGCTTGTACGACTCTGTGAACTCGGCCTGGATCTCGGCGGCGATTTGGTTGACGAGCGCTTTTGTAGGCGCGACGTAGACGAGAACGTCCTCATCGCTCGGCTGCATAATCTTCTTCATCGCATAAAACGATACGAATGTCTTGCCAGATGAAGTGGGAGCGATAACTTGGAGACTCTTGTTCTCATCAATAGCATCCAAGACTTGTGGCTGCCAGGTGTCGGGGTTGAACCGGGCCCGAGGATCGGGCGTGGGATCGAAGCTCGATCGAGGTAAGGACCACAGAATTGAAGCTGAAATTCAAGTGGGTCGAAGTCGTCATCTAGCTTGGGGAGCTCCTTCAATCGTGGGAACGGCAGAGGGCGCTCGTGAGAGGCGTCTCCTGAGAAGGCTAGTTGAAGACCAGCAGATTTGGCCATGGGCGCCAACTGGCTGGCGACTGTGGGAGAAAGCGATGTAGCCTCGAGACTGGTGACAGTTTTCCAAATGAGGGCATGTGTATAGAGGCCTAAAATTATGGCAATAATATCAGTAACATTGAAGGCAAATCTTACGTGAGTTCAATGTTGCAATTACGGGAACGACAGACCATTAAACCCTTTGCCATTCTGTTTCATCTGAATCCTGGCGAGGATATTGCAGGCGTAAAGAGCAGCCTCTCCGCCCACGGTCCCAAGGTCAGCAGCCGACAAATTGTTCAAATACCGAGATAGTTTCTGAAACCTCTTGACAAGGTCACTTTCCATCTCGAACTCCGAGCAGCGATTCTTTCACGCAGGGAGAGCCCCATCAGCCTTCGCCTCTAGCTTTTCTTCCTGGATTTTCCGGGCACCTGCCAGGGCATTTTGGCGACCGCCCACCACGAGCTTGGATGTCGACTACTTCGGCTTGTGCGACCAAGGCTTTTCAGTCTTCTGAGCGACGGGCTGGGACGTGACAATAACCTCAGGGGTGATACCTTTGCCTGCAGAGTTCGTTAGGCTCGCAGCGTAGGCAATGGTGTCGGCCATATGCTTCTGGTTTCGTTTGTGGGCGAAGAATCCGAATTTCTTCAAGGGCTTTCGCTTCGGATCGACCGACCGCTTTGAGTTATGCCAGTGGGTAAGATCTTTGAAGACCCCGCTCTTGCTCTCAAGAGCTGGGGAGTCGACCGCAATAACTTCGACGTCCTCGAGTAGTTCGTCGAGAACTGGGTGACGGAAAGGTAAAACAGACCGTTTCTGGTGGCCTGGGGAAAGCACAGGCTCAGGGCTTCCGCTCTCTACTGAAATCCCCGAAATGTGGCTCGAGAGGTCGATCCCAGAGTATTCATGGAGGCGTCGAATCATGGCTTCGATGCGCGTGACAACATCTTGATGCAGTCGGAGAGAATCCATGTTTCGGAGAACGCGGCGAAGGACGCGGCCGTCGATGAGGTCTGCAATGTACCATTCTAGGCGTGGGGACAAGACCTCCTGCTCCAGGATGGAGATGCAAATTTGACTGAAGGCTTTGACGAAGTCATGGTAGAGCATGTCTATCTGGTTTTAGTTCGGTAATGCCAAGAGTCCTGTCGCCAAGGTCAACCTCTGCCAATACATAGCTAGGTAATACTGGGCGGCTCTACTACCCATGACATCCTGCTCTCCCCAGCTGTTCACCGAATACTTTTTCGGATGTGGCTGCACCCGCCCCATTTAACCCTGACCGGTCTTACGTCTTGTATTTTAGTTTCCGTTGTCTTTCTTCCTTTTGTTTCCCGCCATATTTTCCCTTCGACCATGATTATCTTCTCCAAAGCACCTATACCGTCAGCTATGTTAACCCAGCCCAAAGTGACTAGCCTATTAACTTGCGCCCTTCGCCGTCAAAGGAAAGAATCTTATCTAACCTAGCTCCTGTGCTGTGGATAAGCCCTGTTGCGCACGAGCATGGCTGAACAGCGCCAAGCCGTCTCCTGCCAGTTGGCCATCTCGCCCCTTATATCGCCCATCCTATAAGAAGATGACAAAACGAACGAGCCATTTTACGATGAATGGAGCCATCTACGCATAGCCCCTAGTCACTTAGTCGAGCTCAGCCAATAAACGGGTGCAAGAGACAGCAAAATGTCATCGGCATCTTTTATAAGGCCCACGAACGAGTCCTTTGCAGACCGAGCCATTTTATGATGAATGAAGCCATCTATGCATAGCCCTAGTCACTTAGTAAAGCTCAGCCAATAAACAGGTGCTAGAGACAGCAAAATGTCATCGGCATTTATTATATGGCGGTGAGCACCTGTAGTTCGAATCAGCGGCCTAAAATACCTCCACTAGCTGCACCTGGCCGTTCCAATAAATACAAAGTGAGACTGACAAATAGTACTACAAATAGACTCCGTTCCTTCGCGGTCGAATCTAACTGGCACCCTTACTCGCCAGCTAATGTGAAGAGACCGTTATAGAATCGACAGCCTTTCCTCAGAATGGATCTATCACTGTGGGAGAGAGCAGCCCAGAGCCAGTCATGCTGGCGCCCCGACGGTAGCACGATCCCGGACGAACCGTGCTTCCCCGACGCTGACGTGAGCGTTTGCTGCTACGCGAACCATACGTGCATGTCGAATGGCATGTGTCGGTTTCCCGACGACGAGATGGCCGGGCGGATGCGGTATATTCGAGGCAGCTGCACGGATAAGTCTTGTATGTCGCCCCCTATTTGCTATTAGTGGTAGCGGAAAAAAAGGAAAGAGGAGAGAAAAAAATAAGCCTAGGAAAAAAGAAGGAAAGTAAAGGAAAGCAAGAAAAAACACAAAATGTGCTCGTATATCTAATATTCCGTGTCTTTCTAGGGATGGATCCGAAATGTCCACCATATTGCCTCGAAGGTAAAAAAATAACCAAGTTAACGACGAAAAAGTTAACTCTAGGTTAGAAGGCCGAACCTAAGTAAGCAGATACTAAAGGAACGTTGTGACACCCAGGGTTGTACATGGTCGAGTGCCCCAATGGATCCTTCTGCTGCGAAGACGGCGACCGTGAAAGCGATGCCATAGCCGGTACCTGTTGCGAAGGTGCAGTGGAAGACCTCTTCCAGGCCCCCTCCGGCACGACCGTTACCGTCATTGGCGCGACGGGCTTTGGTGAAAGTGCGACCCCGACCGCGACTTTCTCACCAACTGGGAGTGACGGCGTACTAGGTGGAGACAAGGGCGGCGCCGATGCGCTCGGTGTGGGGATCGGGGGGTGGTATTTTCGGGCCCGTTGTCGTTGCGGCGTTAGTACTCTTCCTGATTGGATAAGGTGTGGCCTCCTCCATGTGGCCTCCTCCATTCATTGCAGTCATGGGTGAATATCACGACTGGGCGGAGCACTTTCCATGAATTCGGTGTCCCGTACTGTCCATTTAAATATCCACTATTACAGTATTTAAATATCCACTAATATTTAAGTGCCCCCTATTACTTCCTTGCTCCACTAACATTTAAATAACGACGGACTTCCATCCAGTCGGAGTTGAAACAGAAGCATTCTATTATAGAAAATTTCTATAGCAACGTCTATTAGTATTCAGTCATAGATGACCCCGATCCGAGCCACGCCCAGGACCAAATCTCTCGGTTGCAAAGCAGGTTTCCCGATGTCAAGATTGATGCGCTGAAAGTAAATGCCACAGATGAGGACGGCGTCAACGCAGCCATGGAAGAGACGTCCGGGTTCTCGGATCTGTTGATGTTTTGGTTTGCTTCGTTGAGACTTTGAAGATGCCGCCTCCCACTTGGCTGATTTATTGCAAGCTATGCCGCCGAAAACTGTTTTCGCCTCCTTCCGTAGCCAGCTACACGGCATTGATGGAAAAGAGACCCTGAAAAGAAGTACAAAGCTGCTTTGACAAAAAGGCGATGTGTTGAATTGCCGTGGAATCAGATCAGGCATTTTTACTCGCAAATGTAGTACCACAGCTGCCGGATAGCCTCCTCGGGTTTGCTTGCGCTGTGTGCTTGGTGCGAGCTGGCGGAAACCGCTTGCCTTGCCGTCACCGGCTCTGTGATGCCTGTGTCCTACTTTGCGGCGAGCGAGACCAGCTGTGGTCCCGACCTCAGAACTCTGCATACTTCGGTCTCTACCAGACGATCGACACATTTACCAAGTCCGTAAAGTTTCACTCGATCATCACAGGCGCCAAATACCCTGTCCATTTTCTTCAATGCCTTCCGTGTATTCAACTGCTCATTTGGTGTTTACGGGAGGGTTAATGCAAGTGTGTAAGTGCTGGGTTGGTGCCGCTGAATAGTGTGTTTGAAATTTTCCGTGTGCTTTGGGGGGGCAATATCTATCAGGTTTATCGGCTCGGAGAACGCCATTCTATGCTCCTCTCCCTTCTCTACCCTACTGCACCATGGATAATTAATCTTACTCTGCCGGATCCACCGCCGGGTGAATTTCTAGATCTACTGAGACGGGCTAGTGTGGCACAGCCAGCCAAATCAGATCAATATAACAGGGTGGTCGGTCAATGGTCGGATATCGAACCTTCGCAGAAGTAGCCACACAAGCTCCTAGAAGACTCGAATGGACATCAAATTATTAATCAATTAAATGAGAGCAAAGATACCATAAGAAGACGTTACAGGATAGGAACGGTGACTAAAGGATAACACTTATACAATTTCTTTTCGTTTTCCCTCCCCGGCTATGCCGCAATTAAGCGGCTGGGGCGTTATGGTGGATGGATTTGTACGGTGGTATTCGGGCAGTAGTTGACTTGATCTCTAGGATTCGACAAGGGAATCCTGAGTTGGCGAGAAGATGCAGCATCTATACATATCGATTATCAAGACACTCGCCTAATTACGAAGAGGCCCGGAGAAGAGTGAAAACGTGACCGAGTCGATTACAAAAAAAATAAAAATAAAAATAAAAATACTGTAACGCTAACCAATCGGGCAAGGATTGCTTGAATAAACTCGTGCTGTGCATCTTTCCACACGAAACTTCCCGATCATGACCTAAGGATCGCCTGAGTAAAGAGGCGAGACGTGGTATGGGTGGCTGGAGTTTGGTGAGGGCAATCTGTACGTAAAGCAACGTCACAGTCCTAGCCCCTCAATCACTCAAGCACAGGCATCCTTAATAGGTACCTCGCTGCACCAATCTGCTGGGTTATTGCAAACCTGGAGACAATCCTGGCCAGGATTCACCACAACTCGATGCGACTGGCCACCATCCTGAGCCCAAGTAAGGCGATATTGCAGAACTGATTCTGCAGGTTTGAAACCCGCCTGACAGAAGCAGAATCCCTTGTCCTTGTTGGGCGTATTAGTTCCCGGCTGGAATCTGACGCAGCTTGCACGTGTGCCACATTGGTTGATTGGACCAAGGTCGCAAGGCTCGGCGCATGGCGGGGTGTCGACGCATTGGACCGGCTCTCCAAGACCAATCTTGCTAGCCGTGAGGATGAATTCCATGAGGCCGGCACCCACCTCGAGCATATTCTTCTCAAATGTCGTGGCGTCCGGGTAAAAAACGTCTTCACATGGTACGCCGTGGTGGCGGCCAGGGACGTTCCCAAATTCCAGCGTAAAACCGTGGATCTTGCTGTTGTCGATGTTGTCAATGTGTCGAGAATAGGCGTAGTCATCTGACGTTCCGCAGGTTGGATACAGTCCGACGGACTGCTTGGCGACGTATATTCGTCCTGTAGAAGCCACCATTGCATCTGCCATTTTGTGCGCGGCCAGGACTTTTTCATCATAGTCAGCCTCCGGAAGGTATTCCATATATTC